GCACAGCAGCAGGCACAGCAGGCACAGCAGCAGGCACAGCAGCGGGCACAGCAGCAGGCACAGCAGCAGGCACAGCAGCAGGCACAGCAGCAGGCACAGCAGCAGGCACAGCAGCAGGCACAGCAGGCACAGCAGCAGGCACAGCAGGCACAGCAGCGGGCACAGCAGGCACAGCAGCAGGCACAGCAGCAGGCACAGCAGCAGGCACAGCAGCAGGCACAGCAGGCACAGCAGCAGGCACAGCAGCAGGCACAGCAGCGGGCACAGCAGCAGGCACAGCAGCGGGCACAGCAGCGGGCACAGCAGGCACAGCAGCAGGCACAGCAGGCACAGCAGCAGGCACAGCAGCAGGCACAGCAGGCACAGCAGCAGGCACAGCAGCAGGCACAGCAGCAGGCACAGCAGCGGGCACAGCAGGCACAGCAGCAGGCACAGCAGGCACAGCAGCGGGCACAGCAGCGGGCACAGCAGCAGGCACAGCAGCAGGCACAGCAGGCACAGCAGGCACAGCAGCAGGCACAGCAGCAGGCACAGCAGCAGGCACAGCAGCAGGCACAGCAGCAGGCACAGCAGCGGGCACAGCAGCAGGCACAGCAGCAGGCACAGCAGGCACAGCAGGCACAGCAGCAGGCACAGCAGCGGGCACAGCAGCGGGCACAGCAGGCACAGCAGCAGGCACAGCAGCAGGCACAGCAGCAGGCACAGCAGGCACAGCAGCGGGCACAGCAGCAGGCACAGCAGCGGGCACAGCAGCAGGCACAGCAGCAGGCACAGCAGCAGGCACAGCAGGCACAGCAGCGGGCACAGCAGCAGGCACAGCAGCAGGCACAGCAGCGGGCACAGCAGCGGGCACAGCAGCAGGCACAGCAGCGGGCACAGCAGCGGGCACAGCAGCGGGCACAGCAGCAGGCACAGCAGCGGGCACAGCAGCGGGCACAGCAGCGGGCACAGCAGGCACAGCAGCAGGCACAGCAGGCACAGCAGCGGGCACAGCAGCAGGCACAGCAGCGGGCACAGCAGCGGGCACAGCAGCAGGCACAGCAGCAGGCACAGCAGCGGGCACAGCAGCAGGCACAGCAGCAGGCACAGCAGCAGGCACAGCAGCGGGCACAGCAGCGGGCACAGCAGGCACAGCAGCAGGCACAGCAGCAGGCACAGCAGCAGGCACAGCAGCGGGCACAGCAGCGGGCACAGCAGGCACAGCAGGCACAGCAGGCACAGCAGCAGGCACAGCAGCAGGCACAGCAGCAGGCACAGCAGCGGGCACAGCAGCAGGCACAGCAGCAGGCACAGCAGCAGGCACAGCAGCAGGCACAGCAGCGGGCACAGCAGCAGGCACAGCAGGCACAGCAGGCACAGCAGCAGGCACAGCAGCGGGCACAGCAGGCACAGCAGCAGGCACAGCAGCGGGCACAGCAGGCACAGCAGCAGGCACAGCAGCAGGCACAGCAGCGGGCACAGCAGCAGGCACAGCAGCAGGCACAGCAGGCACAGCAGGCACAGCAGCAGGCACAGCAGCAGGCACAGCAGCAGGCACAGCAGCGGGCACAGCAGCAGGCACAGCAGCAGGCACAGCAGGCACAGCAGGCACAGCAGCAGGCACAGCAGCAGGCACAGCAGCGGGCACAGCAGGCACAGCAGCAGGCACAGCAGCGGGCACAGCAGCGGGCACAGCAGCAGGCACAGCAGCAGGCACAGCAGCAGGCACAGCAGCGGGCACAGCAGCGGGCACAGCAGCAGGCACAGCAGCGGGCACAGCAGCGGGCACAGCAGCGGGCACAGCAGGCACAGCAGGCACAGCAGCGGGCACAGCAGCAGGCACAGCAGCGGGCACAGCAGCGGGCACAGCAGCAGGCACAGCAGCAGGCACAGCAGCGGGCACAGCAGCGGGCACAGCAGGCACAGCAGCGGGCACAGCAGCAGGCACAGCAGGCACAGCAGCAGGCACAGCAGCGGGCACAGCAGCAGGCACAGCAGGCACAGCAGCAGGCACAGCAGGCACAGCAGCAGGCACAGCAGGCACAGCAGCAGGCACAGCAGGCACAGCAGCAGGCACAGCAGCAGGCACAGCAGCAGGCACAGCAGGCACAGCAGCAGGCACAGCAGCAGGCACAGCAGGCACAGCAGCAGGCACAGCAGCAGGCACAGCAGCAGGCACAGCAGGCACAGCAGCGGGCACAGCAGCAGGCACAGCAGCGGGCACAGCAGCAGGCACAGCAGGCACAGCAGCAGGCACAGCAGCGGGCACAGCAGCGGGCACAGCAGGCACAGCAGCAGGCACAGCAGCGGGCACAGCAGGCACAGCAGGCACAGCAGCAGGCACAGCAGCAGGCACAGCAGCAGGCACAGCAGCAGGCACAGCAGCAGGCACAGCAGGCACAGCAGGCACAGCAGCGGGCACAGCAGGCACAGCAGCAGGCACAGCAGCAGGCACAGCAGCAGGCACAGCAGGCACAGCAGGCACAGCAGCGGGCACAGCAGCAGGCACAGCAGCAGGCACAGCAGCAGGCACAGCAGCAGGCACAGCAGCAGGCACAGCAGCAGGCACAGCAGCAGGCACAGCAGGCACAGCAGCAGGCACAGCAGCAGGCACAGCAGCGGGCACAGCAGCAGGCACAGCAGGCACAGCAGCAGGCACAGCAGGCACAGCAGCAGGCACAGCAGCAGGCACAGCAGCGGGCACAGCAGCAGGCACAGCAGCAGGCACAGCAGCAGGCACAGCAGCGGGCACAGCAGCAGGCACAGCAGCAGGCACAGCAGCAGGCACAGCAGCAGGCACAGCAGCAGGCACAGCAGCAGGCACAGCAGGCACAGCAGGCACAGCAGCGGGCACAGCAGCAGGCACAGCAGCGGGCACAGCAGGCACAGCAGCGGGCACAGCAGGCACAGCAGCAGGCACAGCAGCGGGCACAGCAGCAGGCACAGCAGGCACAGCAGCAGGCACAGCAGGCACAGCAGCAGGCACAGCAGCAGGCACAGCAGCAGGCACAGCAGCAGGCACAGCAGGCACAGCAGCGGGCACAGCAGCAGGCACAGCAGCAGGCACAGCAGCAGGCACAGCAGCAGGCACAGCAGCAGGCACAGCAGCAGGCACAGCAGGCACAGCAGGCACAGCAGCGGGCACAGCAGCAGGCACAGCAGCGGGCACAGCAGGCACAGCAGCGGGCACAGCAGGCACAGCAGCAGGCACAGCAGCGGGCACAGCAGCAGGCACAGCAGGCACAGCAGCAGGCACAGCAGGCACAGCAGCAGGCACAGCAGGCACAGCAGCAGGCACAGCAGGCACAGCAGCAGGCACAGCAGCAGGCACAGCAGCAGGCACAGCAGGCACAGCAGCAGGCACAGCAGCAGGCACAGCAGGCACAGCAGCAGGCACAGCAGCAGGCACAGCAGCAGGCACAGCAGGCACAGCAGCGGGCACAGCAGCAGGCACAGCAGCGGGCACAGCAGCAGGCACAGCAGGCACAGCAGCAGGCACAGCAGCGGGCACAGCAGCGGGCACAGCAGGCACAGCAGCAGGCACAGCAGCGGGCACAGCAGGCACAGCAGGCACAGCAGCAGGCACAGCAGCAGGCACAGCAGCAGGCACAGCAGCAGGCACAGCAGCAGGCACAGCAGGCACAGCAGGCACAGCAGCGGGCACAGCAGGCACAGCAGCAGGCACAGCAGCAGGCACAGCAGCAGGCACAGCAGGCACAGCAGGCACAGCAGCGGGCACAGCAGCAGGCACAGCAGCAGGCACAGCAGCAGGCACAGCAGCAGGCACAGCAGCAGGCACAGCAGCAGGCACAGCAGGCACAGCAGCAGGCACAGCAGCAGGCACAGCAGCGGGCACAGCAGCAGGCACAGCAGGCACAGCAGCAGGCACAGCAGGCACAGCAGCAGGCACAGCAGCAGGCACAGCAGCGGGCACAGCAGCAGGCACAGCAGCAGGCACAGCAGCAGGCACAGCAGCGGGCACAGCAGCAGGCACAGCAGCAGGCACAGCAGCAGGCACAGCAGCAGGCACAGCAGCAGGCACAGCAGCAGGCACAGCAGGCACAGCAGGCACAGCAGCGGGCACAGCAGCAGGCACAGCAGCGGGCACAGCAGGCACAGCAGCGGGCACAGCAGGCACAGCAGCAGGCACAGCAGGCACAGCAGGCACAGCAGCGGGCACAGCAGCAGGCACAGCAGCAGGCACAGCAGCAGGCACAGCAGCAGGCACAGCAGCAGGCACAGCAGGCACAGCAGCAGGCACAGCAGGCACAGCAGGCACAGCAGCGGGCACAGCAGCAGGCACAGCAGCAGGCACAGCAGCAGGCACAGCAGCGGGCACAGCAGCAGGCACAGCAGCGGGCACAGCAGGCACAGCAGCAGGCACAGCAGCAGGCACAGCAGCAGGCACAGCAGCGGGCACAGCAGCAGGCACAGCAGCAGGCACAGCAGCAGGCACAGCAGCAGGCACAGCAGCAGGCACAGCAGCGGGCACAGCAGCGGGCACAGCAGCGGGCACAGCAGCGGGCACAGCAGCAGGCACAGCAGCGGGCACAGCAGCGGGCACAGCAGCGGAGGTGCTCCACGCTTGTCCTGGAGTCTTCCACACTGTGCAGACCTGGCACAGGACTTGGGTTCATGACTTCCCGGCCACCCTCTGTGGTGGCAGCAGGGCTGATCTACAAAATCCTAGTGACAGGAAAGGCCTGAAGAGAACGCAGCAGTAAGCATTTGGCTGCCAGGGACACACGGGCCACGGCTAGGCAGCCAGCCCGTGTAGCCTCAGGCAGCCACAGCCTGGCTGGCCCGAGGGCAGGGAGCAGGTAGGGGACACGAGGGCTGTGCTGGGCCAGCAGAGGACACAGAGGATGGGGTGGAGGGAGCCTGGGCGTCCACAGTGTGCTGGGGAGCCCCCCACGCCCAAGGAGGGGCAGCCCGGCCGGCTGGGGCCGGGGGGCTGAGTCCCAGGCTCTCTCCTGCCAAGTGGGGAGGGGTGCAGGTGTCCAGCGCCCCGGACCTTGCAGGTGGCTATTGATTTCACGGCCTCCAACGGCGACCCGCGGAACAGCTGCTCCCTGCACCACATCAACCCCTACCAGCCCAACGAGTACCTGCAGGCACTGGTGGCCGTGGGCGAGGTCTGCCAGGACTACGACAGGTGGGTCGGCCCTAGCTGGAGGTGGGCGTGTCCCCAGTCCCAGGTCCCGCCCTCAACTGGAGGTGGGCGTGTCCCGTCCCCAGTCCCAGGTCCTGCCCTAGCTGGAGGTGGGCGTGTCCCCTGCCCCAGGTCCCGCCCTCAGCTGGAGGTGGGCGTGTCCCCTGCCCCAGGGCCTGCCCTAGCTGGAGGTGGGCATGTCCCCTGCCCCAGGTCCCGCCCTCAGCTGGAGGTGGGCGTGTCCCCTGCCCCAGGTCCCGCCCTCAGCTGAAGGTGGGCGTGTCCCATGCCCCAGGTCCCGCCCTCAGCTGGAGGTGGGCGTGTCCCCAGTCCCAGGTCCTGCCCTAGCTGGAGGTGGGCGTTTCCCCAGTCCCAGGTCCCGCCCTCAACTGGAGGTGGGCGTGTCCCCTGCCCCAGGGCCTGCCCTAGCTGGAGGTGGGCATGTCCCCTGTCCCAGGTCCTGCCCTAGCTGGAGGTGGGCGTGTCCCATGCCCCAGGTCCCGCCCTCAGCTGGAGGTGGGCGTGTCCCCAGTCCCAGGTTCTGCCCTAGCTGGAGGTGGGCGTGTCCCCAGTCCCAGGTCCCGCCCTCAACTGGAGGTGGGCGTGTCCCCAGTCCCAGGTCCTGCCCTAGCTGGAGGTGGGCGTGTCCCCAGTCCCAGGTCCTGCCCTAGCTGGAGGTGGGCGTTTCCCCAGTCCCAGGTCCTGCCCTCAGCTGGAGGTGGGCGTGTCCCCAGTCCCAGGTCCTGCCCTAGCTGGAGGTGGGCGTGTCCCCTGCCCCAGGTCCCGCCCTCAGCTGGAGGTGGGCGTGTCCCCAGTCCCAGGTCCCGCCCTCAACTGGAGGTGGGCGTGTCCCCAGTCCCAGGTCCTGCCCTAGCTGGAGGTGGGCGTGTCCCCAGTCCCAGGTCCTGCCCTAGCTGGAGGTGGGCGTGTCCCCTGCCCCAGGTCCTGCCTGAGGCCTCCAGGTGGGCTCCAGGTCTGGTGAGGCCCACCAGGTGGCCTTTAACTGCCATTTATCAGAAGTGCCTGATCAAGCTCCAGCCAGGAGCGGAGGGACAGGCTTCCACCACCCTTGTGAGGCCTGGGTTAGGACGAATGTGTCCAAGTGTGGTCAGTGCTACCTGTTAGTGTGGACGAGGGGTCTGGGGTGGGTGAGCCTGTCCAGTGTTCCCACGCAGCCCGCTTGACAGACCAGCACACGGAGACCACAGAGGTCAGGGTGCCCAGCGAGGGAGGGCCACACACCAGTCCACACAGGCCCAGCTCTGCACCAGCTCCAGCCCCCTTCCTGCCTCGATTTCCCCTGTGTGACACGGCTGTGATCCCCAGGCCTGGGCCAGCAGGCCAGGGCCCGCCTCCCACTGCAGGGGAGCCGGGTGACCGGCACTGCCTGCCTCTCTTTCAGCGACAAGAGGTTTTCTGCTCTGGGGTTTGGAGCCCGAATCCCTCCGACGTATGAGGTAGGGGCACGGAGCTGGGGCCCACACCCTCCCCAGTCTGCCCCTGTGCGCCCCACGGGGCAGAGGGCACCCTGGGTCCAGAACACCCGGTAGCCGCCATTCACAGTGGGATGGGGTGGGGGTCAGGGTGAACGGACCCAGCCTCCCTTTGAGCCCCTCGGACTAAGGATCCAGTGGTAGAGCTGGAGATGAGCCTTGTGTTAGGAAGATGCCAGTGAGGGTTCAGTAGAGGTTCTGAGTGATGAAAGCATGGCCCAGGTTAGTCTGTCTGTCTGTCTCCCCACCCCCCCATTGGGCTTTCCTCCCACAAAGGGGGGGCTCTTCCAGTAGCTGGGGTGAAGGGGATGAGGGAGTGCAGCTGACCGGCGGTCGCTCCTGTCCCTCAGGTGTCCCATGACTTCGCCATCAACTTCAACCCCGAGGATGACGAGTGTGAAGGTGGGAGCTGAGATGGCGCTGGGGGGCTGGGCGGGCCGGGGGGGCCGGGGGGACGGGCAGGGGGGGGCTCATCACTCCCTGCTGCCCACGGGGGCCTGTGCGGGCCGGGCTCATCACTCCCTGCTGCCCACAGGGGCCTGTGTGGGCCAGGGGGGGGCTGGGGGGGCTCATCACTCCCTGCTGCCCACGGGGGCCGGGGGGGCTCATCACTCCCTGCTGCCCACGGGGGCCAGGCGGGCCGGGGGGGCTCATCACTCCCTGCTGCCCACGGGGGCCTGCGCGGGCCGGGGGGGCTCATCACTCCCTGCTGCCCACGGGGGCCAGGCGGGCTGGGCCGGGGGTGCTCATCACTCCCTGCTGCCCACGGGGGCCAGGCGGGCCGGGCCGGGGGGGCTCATCACTCCCTGCTGCCCACGGGGGCCTGCGCGGGCCGGGCCGGGGGGGCTCATCACTCCCTGCTGCCCACGGGGGCCAGGCGGGCCGGGGGGGGCTCATCACTCCCTGCTGCCCACGGGGGCCTGCGCGGGCCGGGGGGGGCTCATCACTCCCTGCTGCCCACGGGGGCCAGGCGGGCCGGGGGGGCTCATCACTCCCTGCTGCCCACGGGGGCCAGGCGGGCCGGGCCGGGGGGGGGCTCATCACTCCCTGCTGCCCACGGGGGCCTGCGCGGGCCGGGGGGGCTCATCACTCCCTGTTGCCCACAGGAATCCAGGGGGTGGTAGAGGCCTACCAGAACTGCCTGCCCAAGGTCCAGCTCTACGGCCCCACCAACGTGGCCCCCATCATCACCAAGGTGGCCCGCATGGCCGCCACTGAGGAGCACACCGGGGAGGCCTCCGTAGGTGCCTGGGCAGCAGCTGGCGTGGGTGGGCGGCGTGTGCAATCCAGGCTTGACAGGAGAGGGGGCCTCTGGGGCAAAGGCGCTGGGGCAGGATGAGCGTGGGGGAGGGGCTGCCTGCAGGAGCGTGGGGGGGGGGCTGGAGGGGGGGCTGCCTGCAGGAGCGTGGGGGGGGCTGGAGGGGGGGGGGCTGCCTACAGGAGCGTGGGGGGGAGGTTGGAGGGGGGGGCTGCCTGCAGGAGCGTGGGGGGGGGCTGGAGGGGAGAGGCTGCCTGCAGGAGCGTGGGGGGGGGCTGGAGGGGGGGCTGCCTGCAGGAGCGTGGGGGGGGGCTGGAGGGGGGGGCTGCCTGCAGGAGCATGGGGGGGGGCTGGAGGGGGGGCTGCCTGCAGGAGCGTGGGGGGGGCTGGAGGGGGGGGCTGCCTGCAGGAGCGTGGGGGGGGGGCTGGAGGGGGGCTGCCTGCAGGAGCGTGGGGGGGGCTGGAGGGGGGGGGCTGCCTGCAGAGAGGACCTGTGACCTGTGGCTGCCCTCAGAGCCCAGTGGGGGGACAGGAGATGAGTTTCTGGTTCTGGCTGGATAGGGCTTTGCCTCAGTCTCCTGCGCCCCCAGGGTCACGACCCCCGCAGGTGCCGCCCGGGCCTGCCAACTCCGCAGGCCGCGTTCTGCTGTGTCTGGGTCTTCCCTTGGCCCCGACAGGCCGCAGGGCTGCGTTCCCTGTGCGTGGCTCTGTGTGAGCTGCGGGGCACCGCTGGCCTGTTGCTTTCTTTTCACTTCATTTTGACAAGGAAAACCAGTTTTACAAGAGTGAACAGAGTAGCCCAGTGTCCTGGCCCGCCCTTCCCCTGGTCCTCTGGCTCCCCTCCTGCCCCCGTGTGCCCTGTCTTTCTCTGGGCCTCCTATTGCTTCCTGTGGCTGAGAGTCCTGTCGCTCTAGTAGCAGGTGGGTAGTGGCTGGTACCTCCTGAGCTGGGGTCCATGATTTCCCATCCCCAAGCCCACCAGGACGGCATCTCCCCATGTGGGCTGTTCCTGACCTGATTGTTCAGACTCTGCCATCTGAGGTCCCACTGCCCAGTTGCTCAGCAGCCTGGGCTGGGGGCACAGGGAACCCCCAAAGCCCAGCAGGGCGCAGGAACGACCCTTCCCAGGGCCAGGCTCCCAGCTCCCTCCACACTTCAGGAGTGAGGAGCCCGCGGGCACTTGCCCTCTCCCCTGGCCTGGAGGGTGGCAGAGCGGTCAACTTGTCCTGTGCACAGGGCATCCTTCTTTTCTTCCTTTTGTGCCAGTCTTGGGACTTGAACTCAGGGCCTGAGCGCTGTCCCTGAGCTTTTTTACTCAAGATTAATGCGCTATCACTGTAGCCACAGCTCCGCCTTTGGCTTTTGGATAGTTAATTGGAGACGAGTCTCACAGACTTAACTGCCTTGGCCTCATATCTTGGCCTCCTGAGTAAAGGATTACAGGTGTGAGCCACCAATGCCCTACTTGTTTTGTTTTCTTTCATTCCTGGGAATGGAAGCCAAGGTGTTGTACATGCTGAACAAGTGTTCTAGCTACCATTGAGCTACACTCCCAACCCAGAAATTTAATAGATACAACACTCGTGTCAATATGAGAGCGTATTCCCATTTCTCATTGCCAATTCTTCACAGCAGGGTTTTTCTGGCAGGGGACCCGTCTGAAACCCAGGCTGTGTTCCATTGCCACGTTCCTGAATTATTTTGAAGCAAGTCTTAGTCATATGATTTCCTCTGTAAATATCATCTGGACCTCTAAAAAAGATGGACACCCTAACTTACCTACCATATCACCAGACCTGACACCCAGCTGCAATTCCTAGCATTGAGCCGCTCTTCGGTGGTGCCATCTCCCTGTTAGTGTGGGGTGAGGATGGGACTGGGCAGTGGCCTGTGACCCCAAGACTCCTTTGGATGCACGAAGCGTGCCCTCTGCCAGGCCAGCAGGGGCAACAGGCCAGGTGTCCAGACTAGTGAGCACGAGGCTGAGGCCAGCTGGACCTCGTTTAGGAGTCCAGAGCTGGTGAGCATGAGGCTGAGGCCAGCTGGACCTAGTTTAGGGTAAATGGGTTCGGGTCCTGCTTTAGCTGCCTCAGGGTGTAAGGTGGGCCCCTAGAGTCAGGGCATGGGACAGGAAGACAGGTGGGGCTTTGAGCCATGTGCACTGTAGAGAATGACTCACTACCAATGAGCAGAGTCTGGACACCGCGGAGCTGCCCGCAGCGGGGGCCACACAGGCTGTGGCCGGTGTGAGGGGCAGGTGGCCGCCAAAGCCCCGGTTCTGTCCCTGTGCCCCAGCAATACTACATCCTGCTGATCCTGACGGACGGCGTGGTGACCGACATGTCTGACACGCGGGAGGCCATTGTGCGGGCCTCGCACCTGCCCATGTCCATCATCATCGTGGGGGTGGGCAACGCCGACTTCACCGACATGCAGGTCCTGGATGGGGATGACGGCGTGCTGCGCTCACCCCGGGGCGAGCCCGCGCTCCGGGACATCGTGCAGTTTGTGCCGTTCCGCGAGCTGAAGAACGTGAGTGCTGGGAGGGCCTGGGGCCTGCCCGCACCCCCTGCCCGCCGGGCTCCCCCCCACCGGGGTGAGGGGCCGGGTGTGGACCGCTCAGACCCCAGCTTGTCTCCACCTCCAGGCCTCCCCAGCGGCTCTGGCCAAGTGCGTGCTGGCGGAGGTGCCCAAGCAGGTGGTGGAGTACTACAGCCACAAGCAGCTGCCGCCTCGAAGCCTCGGTGCCCACGCGGGAGACGCCAGCCCCGGTCCCGCCTCCTGAGGAGCCTCGGCCAGACGTCTCCAGCCCAGCACCCTTGGAAGCTCTTCACTACCCGCCAGCCCAGGCCCCACTCCTCCCGCCCTGGCCCTGCAGGACCTGAGACCCCGCACTGGGCCCCAGGCGTCAGACCTAGGCCGGTATGGAAAGAGGGCCACCGAGAGGCCAGGAGGGGCTGGAGCCTGGTCCACGGGGGGCCTCCTCTCAAAGGGGAGGGTGGGAGGAGCTCCCCGGTTTGGCCCTGCGGCCCCCACTCCACCGCCTCGGCTGGCGCCACCCACCTCCCCACCCACCCACCCTCCGTGTCTGTGATCTGAAAACCCCTGGAGACGGTGGCCGGCCCCTGGGCCAGTAAAGCATCCTGCACCTGCCACAGCCTGTGCGTTTGTCTGGGCACGCCGGCCGGCCACGCGGACCGGGCGGGGCGGGGCTGGTCAGGTGCGTGGGGCGTGAGTGGCTCCGGTCTGCACTCAGACACTTAATGAGGACCCAGTGTGCCTCGGTCAGGTGCCATTGGCCAGGCTCCGGGCAGCGTCCACGTGCTCAGCCCCTCAGCCCAGTGGGGTGGGTTTCTAATTGAGATTTCCTCTCAATTATCTTCTCTGAGAAAAACAAATTGTCCTGACCCTGAATCGGGCCCACCCACCCATCCATCCGTCTGCTGGGGCTATTTTTAGCTCCTGATTCATCTCCTGTTAAGCCCGGATAATAGGCATCACCATGGTAACCTGGCTACGGTGGTGGTCTCCTCAGGGACAGAGAGGACACACCAGAGACGCACATTCTCCGTGAGCATTTGCTCCAGTTCTGGCCCAGCCGGGTCCCAGAGCTCGAGGGTACCGGGGAGTCTGGGGTTCCCGCTGGGTGAGGCCGAGGGCAGGTCCCAGCAGTCAGCAAGTGGGACTGGAAGAGGAGCACAGAGGCCCTGGGCAGCCTCTGACTGCAGGGCAGGGCCCATCTGGGGTCCTGGGGGAGGGAGGTACCTTCCAGGAGCTGTGGCTTTCAGGGCTGCAGCCATGCCGAGACCGCTGTGAGGAGCTTGCTTATTCCCTGAAGGTCCCAGCCCAGGTGGATGGCGAAGACCCCATCTCATAGACAAGAAAAGGCTTTGCCAAAGGTGTGGTAGTACACACTTACCCCAGCTGGAAGTGGAGGCAGAGTTCAAGGCCAGCCCAGGCAAAATTAACGAGACCCTATCTCAAAAATAAAAATACAAAACAGGGTTGGATTACAGGTTTGTGCCTAGAATCCTAGATTCTCAGGCTGAGATCTGAGGATTGTGGTTTGAAGCCAGCCCTGGTAGGAAAGCCTATGAGATTCATCTGTAACCACTAGAAAACCAGAAGTGGTGCTGTGGCTCAACGTGGTAGAACACTCGCATTGAGTGAAAAAGCTCAGAGTGTTGGGAAAGTGGAGGAGAGAGGAAGGAGAGGCTGGACGCCATCTCCACAGGTGAGGGCTGTTGGTTGAGACAGAGCAGCAGGGGCAGCTTCCCGCAGGCTTGGGTGCGAGGTGGGACAGGAGCTGGGCTTTGTGAGGTCTGAGCGGGGAGGCAGAGGTGAATGAAGCTGGGGGGGGCTTTTCTGTTAGGCCCACAATGGGATGTTACAGCGGCTTGGGGGGGCTGCCTGCCTGTGTCTGCACCGACACCCATCCTTGGAGGCAAGCCTGATCTCTGTATGCGCCTGAGAAGACAGGGTAGGAGTCAGTCCTTCAGAGAACCCAGGCCCGGAGTTCAAGCCCCACACCAACAAAAACAAATGTTTCTTTTTGTTGTTGGTGGTGGTCATGGGGCTTGAACTCCGGGCCTGGGTGCTGCCCCTCAGCTCTTCAGCTCAAGGCAAGCGCCACTTCCGTTTTTCTGATGGTTAATTGGAAATAAGAGTCTCACGGACTTTCCTGCCCAGGCTGGCTTTTATCCGTGATCCTAGATCTCAGCCTCCTGAGTAGCTAGGACGACAGGCGTGGGCCGCCGGCATGTGGCCTGTTACTCTTTTTTTAAAAAATGTGTTGTGGTAAAGTTGGCGTATGGAGGGTTAGACTGCTGTAAGTCCAGGAATGAGTACATTTCTGTTTGGACAATGTCCCCGTTCCCTTGCTCGCTCCCAGCTTTTCCTTCCTACAAGTGGTGTAGTTCATTTCCAACATAGTGTCCAGTGGGTTCCACAGCTGCATTTGTTCACCCTTTGTCCCTGTGAGACTCTTATCTCCAGTTCACCACCAAAGAAAGCCAGAAGTGGCACTGTGGATGGAGTGGTTGAGTACCAGCCTTGAGCACAAAAGCTCAGGGACAGTGCCTAGGCTCTGAGTTCAAGCCCCAGGACTGGTGTGCATGAGCATGTGCACGTGTGCACACGCATGTGCGTGCACACACACACATCAATGGAGGCTCAGGTGAGGGGCGATTTGCCTGGGTCACAGCTGGCGGCGGCAGGACTCGCACCACTTCCCAGTTCCTATTCTGGGGCTTTTATTGCACCAAGCGGCTTGTCGTCCCTGTGGGGTTCAGAGGGTCCCAGGGGTGCAGTCCAGACCGGGCAGGGGGTCCCAGGGGGGCACAGTCCAGACCTGGCAGGGGGTCCCGGGGGGCACAATCCATACTGGGCAGGGGGTCCCAGGGGGCGCAGTCCAGACCGGGCAGGGGGTCCCAGGGGCAGTCCAGACCGGGCAGAGGGCCCTGGGTCTCAGTCCAGACCCGGCAGAGGGCCCCGTGTCTCAGTCCAGACCCGGCAGAGGGCCCCGTGTCTCAGTCCAGACCGGGCAGGGGGTCCCAGGGGGCACAGTCCAGACCGGGCAGGGGGTCCCGGGTCTCAGTCCAGACCGGGCAGGGGGCCCCGGGTCTCAGTCCAGACCCGGCAGAGGGCCCCGTGTCTCAGTCCAGACCGGGCAAGGGGTCCCAGGGGGCGCAGTCCAGACTGGGCAGGGGGTCCCAGGGGGCACAATCCATACTGGGCAGGGGGTCCCAGGGGGCACAATCCATACTGGGCAGGGGGTCCAGGGGGTGCAGTCCATACTGGGCAGGGGGTCCCAGGGGGCGCAGTCCAGACCGGGCAGGGGGTCCCAGGGGGCACAATCCATACTGGGCAGGGGGTCCCAGGGGGCACAGTCCATACTGGGCAGGGGGTCCCAGGGGGCACAGTCCAGACCGGGCAGGGGGTCCCAGGGGGCACAGTCCCAGACCGGGCAGTCAGTATTTCTGCCCCAGTGTGTAAAGCTTTAGAGAAGACAACCCATCCTCAAGCCTTTTCCACTGAGCCCTGGCTCAGAGCATTGTGAGTGTTACACACACCTTGGAGAACTTTCCAGACAAGCAGAACTGGGAATCATAGAGCCACTTACACCCCAAAGCTGGACAAACGCTCCCGACGCTGCCCTAGCTTACTGTTGGAGTGAGCCCTCCTCCCAGGACTTGCGCAGGGAATGGACGCTGGACCACTGGTCTAGCGCTGAGCTAGCACTGGTCTGACGTCCTCTCAATCTGAGACTGAGCCTTTCTCCTTGTCAGCTACAGGGCAGTACGGCAGACTTGGGGTGCAATGTGACTTCAAAGAGCCAAAAAATGCCCAGCACTAGCTGGATGTGGTGGCCTGTGCCTGTAATCCCAGGTGCTTGGGGAGAACCGGTGGGGGATGGAGAGTTGGAAGCCAGTCTGGGCGTCACTGAGACTCGGAGACCCTACCTCAGAAACAAAATATAAACCAAAGAGCTGGAGATGTGGCTCCAGGGGAAGGGGGTTTGCCTAGCACACACAAGGCCTGGGTTCAGATCCCAGGAATCACTCCACCCCTCAAAGGCTAACACTGATGCTCTGCTCACACTGGCCCTGGGGGCTGGAGGCTACTGTCAAGCCAGGAGCCAGAGCAGCACTGGGAGAAGGGGCCAGCCCCTCCCTCCCCACGGAGCCCTCGGGGGACCCCAGGCCCTGGCCAGCTCAGGCAGCCCAGGGTGAGGAGACCTGCGGAGCACACTGAGCCTGTGGTTGAGCCTAAGCCCTGGCCCACATCTGTCCAACAGCTGCCCAAACTCAGGAGAGACCCCGAGCCAGACCTGCGCAGCCAGCCCAGCTCTGCCCCACAGGCACGGTGGCGTAGCAGGCCTGTTTCCTGGGCTCGGTGTGACCCATCACACACCCACCACGGCCGAGCCCTGCCTGAGTGGCTGCTCAGCACAGCACAGGGCTCAGTGGGTAAACTGTTAAAAGTGCCTGGCTTCCCTTTCACAGTGTCCGGAAGAGCCGGATGAAGCTCCACTCTTGGTATCTAACTATGCTGCTGCGGCGGCTGGCTGCGCCCCCAGAGCCACACACCCCAGGCTGCGATGCCATCCCTGAGGCCTGGCCCCCACCAGCCCTCCATCAGGCAGACGAGTGAGCAGGAGGAGGGCACCGCGATGCTGTCCCTGAGGCCTGGGCCGCGATGCCGTCCCTGAGGCCTGGCCCCCACCAGCCCTCCATCAGGCAGACGAGTGAGCGGGAGGAGGGCACCGCGGAGGCTGCTGGAGAGGAAGCGCAGGCAGGGAGGCTGTGACTAAGTGTTGGTAATTGGTGTGGGGGCGGCCGGCTGTCAGACTGCCCGGTCACCCCACAGCTGGCGCGGGTCTGTGGGCAGTCTGCATCCCTCACCATCCGCCCTCCTTTGTCCTGGGGGTCCTCGTGGCCCATCAGTGGCCCCCAGGGCCCCGGCCTGGGGTTTCTCCCTTGCTCCTCTCTCCCCTCCCCATCTTCTCTCTTACTTTCTCCCCCTCAGGATCATGCCGGGGCTGCTCCCATGGAGTGTTCCCTCTCTCCCAGTACTTAGGAGCTTGGTTTAAACCTCACAGTGTTGAACCCCCACAGCAGCCCTGCACCGTGGCCTGCTATGAGTACACTTCACAAATGGGGACTGAGCTCAGAAATGGAGCCATTTGGTTCAGCACGCCCAGCAGGGTCCTGAGCTAGACCTCATAGCCTGACACTCCGGCGGTCAGGATTAGAGCCTGTGGCCCTTCGATGTGTGGCACGCATGT